TATCTGTGCTGCCTGCATCTTCACTGGTCCCAGACTCTGCACAAAGTGACTCCATGGGTGGCACACCGTAAGTTGGGGGTGTTTCCACACCCACTTTTCCTTTGAATTCCAGCAGTCGCTTCTCTACCAGCTGCAAGGAAGGAAAATGGGTAATTACTGATTCTGTACAGGTTGTGAGAACACGTGGCTGATTGGGTGGTGGAGACCATGGTATTGGGGCAGGATTCAGGGAAGTCAGTCACATGAGTGTGGTTCATTATCCAGTACTGCAGTTCTGCTTCTCCACCCTGTTGTGTTGTTCTCCCAACCAGGATTCCTTACCACTCCTCCTCTTGGCCACTCCATTGTCTCCTATCTCCTGATTCTGCACCTGCTCCCACACCTGGAGCTGTCCTTCCCCAGAAGCCATGCCATCGAAGGCACTGTTGCATTAGATGAAATCCTGTGGGTTTCATGTTATGATTCTCCCTTCCTCCTCTGGTTTACCTGGGTGAGAGTGAGTCCTTCCTCTTTCTCCAGCTCCTGTGTTAAGGACACGGGATCTACCTGTGATTCTGGTGATAGTAACATTTCCAGAAATCGAGGATGAATAACTGCTTCCACCTGATAATGGAAGGACGAGGCATGTGAACATCCTTGACAAGGAGTAACCAGAGATTTAGAGGTTTTAGGAGACAATCAGTAATCCCCCTCTCAAATATACATCCAGCATTGTATTAAAACATCACCACCCCAACCTACACATAGACAGACACACACACACATACAAGCAAGAAATGGACACACACATTGTTCAGGGGTTAAGGAATCGAGCTTAATTACAATGTCTGAGGCCAAACTACAGATGTTTGGTTGCTGGAATTCCCAAAGTAGAGAACCCACAGACATCAAACCTCAACTCCTAGCCCACCTTGGTAATAAATGCTTCCTGTGAACACAGCTTGTCTATGTAACTCAGGAGTCCCAGGTCTGGGTATGTCCCATTCTCTTCCTGCTGTTGCTCATTTTCTTCTTCTTGATATGTTCCATCTGGCTCAACGGTGGCTGAATGGG